CAGATGTAGTTTGTTTTAATTGTCAAACTGTTGTATTATAGTACAGATGTTGTATTGTTTTTATTGTCAAACTGTCTTATTATAGCACAGATGTTGTATTTTTTTTATTGTCAAACTGTTGTATTATAGTACAGATGTAGTTTTGTTTTTATTGTCAAACTGTTGTATTATAGTACAGATGTAGTTTTGTTTTTATTGTCAAACTGTTGTATTATAACACAGATGTTGTATTGTTTTTATTGTCAAACTGTTGTATTATAGTAAAGATGTAGTTTTGTTTTTATTGTCAAACTGTTTTATTATAGCACAGATGTTGTATTGTTTTATTGTCAAACTGTTGTATTATAGCACAGATGTAGTTTGTTTTTATTGTCAAACTGTTGTATTATAGTACAGATGTAGTTTTGTTTTTATTGTCAGACTGTTGTATTATAGCACAGATGTTGTATTGTTTTTATTGTCAAACTGTTGTATTATAGTACAGATGTACTTTTGTGTTAGTTGTCAAACTGTTCTATTATAGTGCTGATGTAGTATTGTTTTTATTGTCAAACTGTTCTATTATAGTGCTGATGTAGTATTGTTTTTATTGTCAAACTGTTCTATTATAGTGCTGATGTAGTATTGTTGTCAAACTAACTAAAGACGGAAATACTAAACATAGTAGAACATTGGAACTGAAATTTGAATTAATACTTGTGTTAGAAGATAAACATTGAAAGATTTGTGTTTTGGTCTGAACAAATTAAAAAGAAAAATATCGAGGAACATCAGAATGGGCAGGTATCTGTTTAATCATGTTCCAAGGCTTACGATTTAGAGACTTGATTTTTATATTACATTTTCAGAGCACCGGGAGAAATACTGAGCAGCAGCTTTGACCTCAGCACTGAACGCACCGAATCGCATAGCTTCATTACACTTTGACATGAATAAAGGTTAGGTGAAGTACACACAGTAATATTTATGTAACACGCACAACGAGGTCCTGGATGGTGTAATGAGAATTAACTTTATGGGTTACATTACACCGTAAACAAATTCATTTGAGTCATATATGATGTAATGACAGCTTAACGAATGTGTATAAAGTATTACATAACCCGTAAAGCTAAGTCTTGGATGGTGATATGTTATGTAAATGTAGGTAAAGTATTACATAACCCGTAAAGCTAAGATCTGGATGGTGAAATGTGATGTAAATGTAGGTAAAGTATTACATAATCCGTAAAGCTAAGTCTTGGATGGTGAAATGTTAAGTAAATGTAGGTAAAGTATTACATAATCCGTAAAGCTAAGTCTTGGATGGTGAAATGTTAAGTAAATGTAGGTAACGTATTACATAATCCGTAAAGCTAAGTCTTGGATGGTGATATGTTATGTAAATGTAGGTAAAGTATTACATAATCCGTAAAGCTAAGTCTTGGATGGTGATATGTTATGTAAATGTAGGTAAAGTATTACATAACCCGTAAAGCTAAGTCTTGAATGGTGATATGTTATGTAAATGTAGGCAAAGTATTACATAACCCGTAAAGCTAAAATCTGGATGGTGAAATGTTATGTAAATGTAGGTAAAGTATTACATAACCCACAAAGCTAAGTCTTAGATGGTGAAATGCTATATAAATGTAGGTAAAGTATTACATAGCCCACAAAGCTGAGTCCTAGATGGTGAAATGCTATGTAAATAAGTGTCTTACAAAGATGAGATTGTTCAGTTAACTCACAATAAGTGTCTTACAAAGAAGAGATTGTTCAGTTGACTCACAATAAGTGTCTTACAAAGATGAGATTGTTCAGTTAACTCACAATAAGTGTCTTACAAAGATGAGATTGTTCAGTTGACTCACAATAAGTGTGTTTTTCAAAGGTGATATTGTTCAGTTAACTCACAAGTGTGTTTTTGAAAGATGAGACTGCTCAGTTGACTCACAATAAGTGTTTATTGGCACTACAGTGCATTTCTTAGTGAACATTACTTACACACATTAATACACACTTTGAATTACTGTACAAATATTAAAAATTTACACATATGAAAGCAGAAGCAAACAATAAATAATATATTCAAAGCGCGTGGACACTAGAGGTCTCCACCTTATTTACTTTGAAGTTTAACTAGTACCCAGTAAAATGAATGCCTATTCCGGGCTTCGCTACATTTCATTAAACTAAATGGTTTCGGACGACAATGACAAGCCATACATACAATGGCTTTACGTAATTTTTGTCTACTTTCGTTTGTGTTGGTTGTTTTGAAACGTCATAAACTAATGCGTTTTTAGAACATGTTTCAAACTCTGATAGACAAATCATGTATTTTTTAACATAAAGTACACTTTCTTAAACTTCTGAATATACAAGATACACTTGGTAAAAATTTCACGTGGACACGCAACTGCGTTGATATTTAGAACTATTAAATCACTTTAGGCGTTTCATAATAAAAGAACGTGTAAATAGTGAAGCGCATGCGCACTTAGCATGTCTCGTTGTTGTATCCTGTTGTAGTGAAAATATGACCTCTGATGTATTTTCTGTGTTTACAGAACTTTGGATCGTTGTATTCTTTTGTTAACAGAGTATTTTCACTAATAATGCTGAATTGACTATCATTTAAGTAAGTATACAATAAAATACTGAATATGTATCACACAACAGGTTTCAATATTTGAAAAGGAAGAAGTAGAATATTTTAAATTTTTATTGAATTATAAAATCAAAAAAATCCTATGATAAACGTATTCCTAATTGTATTTTTTAAATTTTTTACCTCAATAAAAAATACAAGAAAAACTGTTCTGATACCCTGACGTTAATGCTTCTCGTGCATCTCAAAACTTCGTCTATAAACAGGACGTGCGGGGGTTTGTAACGTTCTGGTTTTGTAGTTTCTCGTCTATTGATCACTATCCCACATTTTAAAATCTGAATTTAATTTGGAAACTAGCATCGAGCCGTGTTTAGTTGTTTAAACTATTGTAATGATAACGTTTTAGTCGTTACGAAATGTTTTACTAGTAAAATAAAAAGAAACACTGGGGAGTAGGTATCTTAAAATTAACTTATAAATCGGGTGTACAACCAACCAACTGACCAGCACCACGTGAAATTAATCATATTTCACATATATTTGTAATACATAGTCAATGAGATTACGAAGTTTCCAAGTATAAAAACATAAAATACTTCAAAAATTATTTTTGCAATTTTAGCAGATTCAATATACAAAACGTCACATTATTGACTAGGTGAGAAGGATGTGAAATAAAAAAGTACTTGCTGCGGAGGTTTTACAGTGTTATTGTACACTTCCCTCAGTACTGGATACACAAACGTGATTTTTCCAAACTGTTGTTGAGCTTTACCGCTGTTAGTGAGCGCTACAAACAACAATGTAAAAACAACTCTGGTTCAGAGTGCTCTCAAAAAACCAGTTTCTCAAGACATTCATAACTCCTCCGCGACCCCAACAAGCTGTAAAGAGCGGAAACGTAAGAATATTATTGTGAAGTTAGGCTTAACACTTTCTACATATTTTTTGTTTTATAACAATAACAAAATCGTTTTTAGGGCATTCTAAAACGTTTACTTGTAAACATAATATTTCAGCTATAGTCCTTACATCAGTGACAGAAGAATCTAATTTTGATTATAGAAGCCCAAATTAAACTTAAATATTCGTTTTAGAGTTATGCTATTATTTTAAGAATTGTTAGGCCTAAACTAGTATTTGTTACCAAATTTATTTTCCTAAGTCCTGGATTTTCTTTCTTACTCTCCTATATTGAATGTAGCCCAGTAGAAATTTAGAGCTCACATAATGTATTCACAACTACTCCCATTTAAAAACAATTCCTCGGTGACAACAATCATTCCAACTATCGAAGCACTGACAGCATTGTGTTATAACACACGAAGTGTAGTCTCTCTGAAACTCACTATGTAGTGGCTTGTTTTCCGCTAGATAAAAGTAGTTTGGAAAGTAAGATTATTGAGGGCAACAGACTATCAAGTAGATTCGATAAATCATGTTTTATGTGTCACTTGAGGGCGGTGTAAAGATAAAAGGGAAGTTGAATTACTTGAATGAGTTGATTGTTTCCCAACATGACATAAGTTTGGTGATTTCAAACTTATCTAGATTCGTGTAGCTCCAAATTTACCTACATTCCTTTTCGTGTATTGACTTCGAAATTAGAAACTGCAAACTTATCTACACGAGATGAGGAGAGAAACCGGTAATACCATATTTTCTGGTTACGGCTTTTGACAGTCTAGCCCTAATCTCAACCAGAAACTATCAAAGTGAAACTGGTAACACCATATTAACTGCTTTGTCTTTTAACTGTCTAGCACTGATCTTAGCCAGAAGCTACAAAAAGGTGAAACCGGTAATATCTTCTTAACTGGTTAGGCCTTTAGCTGTTTAGCACTGTTCTTAAGCAGTAATATTATCTTAATTGTTCTATAAATATAATCTGCAAATAGGTGAAACCGGTAACACTACCTTAGCTATCTATTGATTTTAATTATTCTAGCGTTGATCTTTAAGCAGAAGGAACTACGATTTGAAACCGGTAATACCACCTTAGCTAGTTATTAATTTTAATTACTCCAGCGTTGATCTTTAAGAAAAATAAACTATGATCTGAAACCGGTAATACCATCTTATAGTACTTTTAATTGCCCAGTACTGATCTTTTAATAGAACATAACAAGGAATGAAACCGGCAATACCATATTAACTAGCTACAGATTATAATTGTTTATAAAATCCACTTAAAAGCGAAACTGGTAATGTCATTTTAACTAAATTAAGGTATGAAATAAATGGTTACAGTTTTACACTATTCTATAAAGAAATCCTTTAATTCTCTAGCATTGATTATTAACATAAGGTACCGAGGGGTAGATTAGGTGTTATTAAATTTACATATCTAGCACTAATCTTGAATTAGAATCTACTGAGGGGTGAAAAGGGTATCACCGTTTTAACTGGTTTTTTATTTGTACCAATGGCTGAAGAGGAAATATCTCAAACTTCACACCAGAGTAAAAACACTTTAAATTCTATAACACATGGTAAAATCTTCATAGGTTGTAGCTATGACAGTAAAGATAAGAATGACAAATACAGCTCACATATCGGTACTTGTCTACATTAACGATAAAAACTTTAAAAAACTCCACATTTACATGAGTTTTTTTTTCTTATTTAACATGCGAGATGTTTAGAGTAATTTTATTTTATCAGAGTCATACGTTTATCATCAACGTCATACATAATCATTAAGTATATTATGTTCTTCATACTTCAGAATATACATAATGTTTTAAATACTATGTACACTAGGAGTTAACCTTATGTCTCATAGGCTTATGCAAAAGCTCTTAATATTACTAGTCAATCATCGTCTCTTTAAAACAGAGATGTTATTGAATGAAGAGATGGCTTTGAGGTAGTATTCGGAACAGCAGGTTTGGGTTTATGATACGCCATGTCGTGCCGTGTTGGCTGGTTAGAGTCTCTGGATTGATCAGTCTCTCTCTGCTGGCAGTCTCCTTCATTAAACATCTTGACCCTGTACTCTAGAGCCTTGGCCCGTAGTGCAGCTATACTATTACTCCTAAGTTCCTCCCTATTGGACACTGCGTTAGAAGTGGCGCTTTCCTTGACTGTCGCGTTCCCTAGGGCAGAAGAGTCACCACGAGAGGTCGCTGCTACCTGTTGAGTCCCTTCTGCTTCAGTTTCGTCTTTTAGACTTCTCTCATCTTCCTTATCCTTCTCCATCCCTCCATCCGCGTCTTTCAGCTTCTCAGCTGCTTCCTGGGACTTCCGGTGCATGCCTATTTGCGATAGATGACCAGAAGCCGTAAGTGTTAGGCCTAAGTTCCTGTCTTCACGATGGTTGACCACTAAGAGGGGCGATAGGGGTGGGATTTGTGACATAGTACAGAACAAGTCTAAAGAGACTGGCATGACTACTGTATTTGTTTTGATATATTAATACGTGTGTGTGTGTGTTGTGGCAATGTATAATGTGTGATTAAAGAGACTGCCATGACTACTGTCTCTGTTTTGTTATGTTAATGCGCGTATGTGTTGTTACACAGTGTATAATGTGATTAAAGCGACTGGCATGACTACTGTATTTTTTATATTAATATGTGTGTATAATGTGACTAAAGAGACTGGCATGCTACTGTATTTGTTTTGTTATATTAATACGTGTGTGTGTTGCGGCACACTGAATAATGTGACTAAAGAGACTGGCATGACTACTGTATTTGTTTTGTTATATTAATACGTGTGTGTGTGTTGTGACAATGTATAATGTGACTAAAGAGACTGGCATGACTACTGTCTCTGTTTTGTTATGTTAATGCGCGTATGTGTTGTTACACAGTGTATAATGTGACTAAAGAGACTGGCATGAATATTGTATTTGTTATATTAATACGTGTGTGTGTGATGTGACACAGTGTATAATGTGTAACTAAAGAGACTGGCATGACTACTGTCTCTGTTTTGTTATGTTAATGCGCGTATGTGTTATTACACAGTGTATAATGTGACTAAAGCGACTGGCATGACTACTGTATTTTTTATATTAATATGTGTGTATAATGTGAATAAAGAGACTGGCATGCTACTGTATTTGTTTTGTTATATTAATACGTGTGTGTGTTGTGGCACAGTGAATAATGTGACTAAAGAGACTGGCATGACTACTGTATTTGTTTTGTTATCTTAATACGTGTGTATGTGTTGTGACAATGTATAATGTGACTAAAGAGACTGGCATGACTACTGTCTCTGTTTTGTTATATTAATACGTGTGGGTTGTGGCACAGTGTATAATGTGACTAAAGATACTGGCATGACTACTGCATTTGTTTTGTGGTATTAATTCGTGTGTGTGTGTTGTGGCACATTGTATAATGTGACTAAAGAGATTGGCATGACTACTGTATTTGTTTTGTTATATTAATACGTGTGTGTTGTGGCACAGTCTATAATGTGACTAAAGAGACTGGCATGACTACTGTCTCTGTTTTGATATATTAATACGTGTATGTGTTGTGGCACAGTGTATAATGTGACTAAAGATACTGGCATGACTACTGCATTTCTTTTGTGGTATTAATACGTGTGTGTTGTGGTACAGTGTAAATTGTGACTAAAGATATTGGCATGACTACCGTCTCTGTTTTGATACATTAATACGTGTGTGTGTTGTGATACAGTGTATAATGTGACTAAAGAGATTGGCATGGCTATTGCATTTGTTTTGTGATATGTATAAGTGTGTATGTGTTGTGGCACAGTGTATAATGTGACTAAAGAGATTGGCATGACTACTGTATTTGTTTTGTTATATTAATACGTGTGTGTTGTGGCACAGTCTATAATGTGACTAAAGAGACTGGCATGACTACTGTATTTGTTTTGTTATATTAATACGTGTGTGTGTGTTGTGACAATGTATAATGTGACTAAAGAGACTGGCATGACTACTGCATTTGTTTTGTGGTGTTAATACGTGTGTGTGTTGTGGCACATTGTATAATGTGACTAAAGATACTGGCATGACTACTGCATTTCTTTTGTGGTATTAATACGTGTGTGTTGTGGCACAGTGTAAATTGTGACTAAAGATATTGGCATGACTACTGTCTCTGTTTTGATATATTAATACGTGTGTGTTGTGATACAGTGTATAATGTGACTAAAGAGATTGGCATGGCTATTGCATTTGTTTTGTGATATGTATAAGTGTGTATGTGTTGTGGCACAGTGTATAATGTGACTAAAGAGACTGGCATGACTACTGCATTTGTTTTGTGGTATTAATACGTGTGTGTGATGTGGCACATTGTATAATGTGACTAAAGAGACTGGCATGACTACTGTCTCTGTTTTGATATATTAATACGTGTGTGTTGTGATACAGTGTATAATGTGAC